TGTTTCTTATGGCTAAACGATGTTCCTCGAGCCTGGCTGAAATCCTTCTGTTGGTCTGTCCCACATACGTCAGGCTGCACGATCCGCACGCTACACTGTATACTCCTTGGTTTTCCAGAGTAATTTTTTGTTTTGGGTTTCTTAGTATTGCTCCGATGGTATGGTCAGGTTTGTATGCCGTTGATATGTCGTATTTCCGTAATATTCGGCCGATTTTGTCAGTAACCCCCTTGATGTATGGCAGGACAGCGATCGATCTTCGTTGGGTCTCGTCCTGCACTCTCTGCTGCGGCTGTTGTTGTTTACTGATTGCCTTGCTGATGGTGCGCCTTTGGTATCCGTTTTGTCGAAGACAGGTACTAATTTTCTTCAGTTCTTTATCTCTGTTCCTCTCGTTTGTGAGCCTGAAGGACCGAGCAATTAATGTATTTGCCACTGCCTGTATCTGTGATGGGTGGTGATGAGATTTAGCGTTCAGATATCTATTAGTGTGTGTTGGTTTTCTATAGACAGTGTGTTCCAAGTGCCCAGCTTCGGTCCTTGTGATGTGCACATCTAAAAAGGGCAGACTGTTATCCTCTTCAAGTTCTATTGTAAATTGAATCCTTGGGTGTATGGAATTCAGATGATCTAGGAATTTCAAAAGCTCCTCCTTGCCAAAAGGCCATACAACAAATACGTCATCAACGTATCTTGTCAATAGTTTTGGCTTCAGATTTGCCTTCTCTGTTGCTTTCTTTTCGAAGTAAATCATGAAGAGGTTGGCAATCACAGGTGAGAGAGATGATCCCATTGCTGCTCCATCTATTTGTCGGTAAATTTTCTCGTTGTACATAAAGTAAGCGTTTTTCAGGCAATGTCTTGACAGATCCATTATGTATGGCGGAAGATCTTCGTTTTCTTCTATAAGCGAGAGTGCCTCTTCTACTGGAATACTCGGGTAGAGGGATTTGACATCGAAACTTGCCATAATGTCGTCCTTGTCCATCCTGAGAGAACCTAAAATCTGAGTGAAATGTTCCGAGTTTTTAACATAGGAATCTGCCTTTTCCACTATAGGCTGAAGTGCACTGGCCAGATGTTTTTCCAGCTTGCATAATGGTGAGTTAAAGGCGCTTACGATTGGACGCAGGGGAACCTCGTCCTTATGGATCTTTGGGAGCCCGTAGAATTTTGGGCAACGACTCGATTTTTCCCTCGGAATAAGTTTCTTCTTTGTATCCTCGTTTATTGATGAATCGAGAATTTTGGACTTAGTTGTTTTTTCCAAATATGTCGTGGGATCTCTGGTGACTAGTTTGTATATTGGGTCGTTCAAAATATCCTCCAATTTTGCATTATAATCCGACGTATTCATGACGACAGTGGCATTTCCTTTGTCTGCTGGCATTATTAGAATGTTTTCGTTTTTGTTTAGATTCCTTAAGGCTTGCATTTCTTCTCTGCTTAAGTTTGGTTGCGGTGGTTTTGACTGTCTTAAGACTCTGGCGACATCTTGCCTAATTAACTCCGCATCTTGTTCGTCTACGGTGGAAAGACTTGCTTCGACGTTGGAAACGATCTCTTCGACGGGTACTCTTTTTGGAGCTATTGCATAGTTAAATCCTTTATTCAGTACGCTGACTTCTGTATCGGAAAGATGGTATGCTGAAATATTATGAACTGTACTGCTTCGGTTTGTATTTGGCACTTGTCCTGATTTTTTGGAATTTGACTGAAGGATTTCTAATTTCTTCCACAGTTTTTTTGACGTGATGTCCTTGTCTTTCTCAGTGCGCCATGATGTTAATAATTCTATGCGGTCCCACAGCAACTGATGGATCTTGTTGCTCAGTTTCAGGTGGAGTCTGAAAAGTTGTAGCTCAGTCTCACTAATTTCGTACCGGGTCCGCCTGATCTGGTCTTGGAGTAGGGCCTTGCTAGCTTTGTCCAGAATAGCTTGTGTCTTTCTAGTGCGTGTGTGATAAGACAACCTTGTAAATGTTGGCAGCAAGTTCTGGTTGCGGCAGTTTTTAAGAAAATTCAAGTTGCACAGCGAAATAACCCTCCTTTGTCTTAGTTTTTCATAACACTTGGTGGCTGTAAAGGTCTCCTTCCCGTAAAGGTGTATGATATTCTCACGTATTGATTCACGGATGGAAAAATGTGATGACACTATATTCCGGGATATCATCCGTTCGCTCGTTGAACTCCGACTGGAATCCTGCATCCGACTGGAATCCTGCAAATCCTGCATCCGACTGGAATCCTGCAGACGTTTCGCCAAAATCTCACTTGGCATCTTCAATGCTCGCGCTCCGAAAACACTTCGAACACTGGGAGGTTATCGGCGGTGCGTGCGGTATTTATACTCTGCGCCGGAGATGGTAACGGTGCTGCTTGTGCGTGGGGGGAGGTGGCTCCGCCCCCTGAATTGTCGCGTTGTTAATTTCGCCCGATCGTAGTTGCCGTTGACTGCTGCGCATCGCTCTGCTGTTTGATTATCGTTCTCCACGTGTTGGATAAATGCAGAGCGTCGTCTCTCGTATTGAGGTGTCCGGACTTTTCTATTTCGATGGCCTCTCGTATAATCCTAGTCCTAAAATCAGGAATTAACAACGCGACAATTCAGGGGGCGGAGCCACCTCCCCCCACGCACAAGCAGCACCGTTACCATCTCCGGCGCAGAGTATAAATACCGCACGCACCGCCGATAACCTCCCAGTGTTCGAAGTGTTTTCGGAGCGCGAGCATTGAAGATGCCAAGTGAGATTTTGGCGAAACGTCTGCAGGATTCCAGTCGGATGCAGGATTTGCAGGATTCCAGCCGGATGCAGGATTCCAGTTGGAGTTCAACGAGCGAACGGATGATATCCCGGAATATAGTGTCATCATTATATATATATATATATATATATATATATATATATATATATATATATATATATATATATATATATATATATATATATATATATATATATATATATATATATAATTCAAAATAGCTAGTATTTAAGAATTTGAATTAGAAAAACTGTGCTTTGTAAAAATTTGAAAATTATTCTTATCAATGTATTCAAAACACTTCGTCACCAAAAACCAAATGGAATTGGACAGTCAACAATATACCGATTTGTGCACGAGAACAAACGCCTAACGTAAGTGCAGGAAGCAAAGAAACCATAACAAATTAAAATGGAAAGACGTATTTTACTTAAAATAACGTCTGAAATTTAAAAAAAAAAAAACATGGTTTCTTTTTACCCATGGGTAAGAAGAAATTGAGGGAGACTTTGAATAAATGAATGAATTAAATGAAATACGGAAAACGCGAAATAGAAGATCACTTTTAAATTTAGAAACGAAAACAGGAATATCTATTCCGCTGGTAAAACAAGACAGGATACAAATTTAAGAAGCACGAGGCAAGCTTTGAATAAAAGCATCCTTCGGAAAAATATAAAGGATTAATAATTACTAGCAAAAATGAATTTGTCGGTGATAGCTTACTAGCAATTCAATCAAAACGGACTGGGGACTATTATGAAGACATAAATGTTGATATATACCTATGTAATACCTACGTTCATTAAATAAGAAGCCATTTCAGGAAGATATATTTGTAAGAAATTTGATGTTTGTAAGTGTGAGCAAAGTTATTTGCAAAATATCTGCAACTAACCAAAAATTAAAGTCATACCTAATTGGAACACTTGCAGTACCACACGTTTCTCCTATCAATTTTAAATTTTCTGATCAGATATGCTAAACCTCCTCTAGTTACAAGGTTTTTTCTCTGCAATTTATTTTGATTTTTTTGATTAAGCTTTCGATAATTTCTTGGTGCGTAGTTCATTGGTGTGCCCTTTACATGAACTTCAACAAATTTTACGGTAACAGATCCTAAAAAGCTGTGGTGTTACCTACGAACAATGTGTCCCATTATTATGAATACCACTTCCAGTTTCACACTGCGCTTTTTTAGCAGAGCTCACAAATTATAAAAATAACACAATATAATATTTATACTTACTTGCACCTTCACTTATGTTACACTCATATACTTTTCTTTTTCACTGTGTGGTTCATTCCTTCCTGCAAGGCCAGCATAGTTAGCTTCTCAATTCTTGTGGAATCTCTATAAACATTCTTCTCAATCCCTAAAATTGAAAATAGTAAATAATTTACTAAACAGTATTTGAATAATTAAGTCATGAAGCATAAAAATATGCATAGATCCTTCAGATGTAGAATCTATATCTTGGTCTGAGTGTCAGAATAAAGGAAGCTGATAATATGCTATAAAACACTGTAGAGCCTCTAATTATTTCTCTAAACTCCAAAGATTATAGTTCATCTGACCACTCGGCACATGATGACTAAAATATACAAATGAAGTTTTATTATGAATAGCAGATGTTAAAAAATGTATATGTTTATTACAATTTATCTATTTTCATATTATTCTTACGTTTATATTTAATTGATCTTAAAAAAATTATCACTCTCGTCACTCTCACTGATCTAATTTGTCTTTCTATTGTACGCAAATAATAAATAAACTGAAATGTTTTCCAAAACTAAAAAAAAATCTAATTTAATTAAATTATGGTTGACCGATGGCTTTTAGCGAAAATGTAACTACGCCCCTACATATTTGGAGGCACAATAATAAGAAAATGATTTATCGGCATAGGGCTTTAGAAGAATAAAAAGCAATTTCAGGGGTGTTTCTGAGAATTATTACAGCGTACGTGTTTCGATGGAAAAAATGTACTTTAATGCGAAGGGGATATAACGTTGAAACTTTATAACAAATTTACGTCCAAAGTTTGCTGAAAACTTTTTACTTGTCCTTTATCGCACGTTTTACAAGGGAAAAACTGGATAACTCGTACGCAGTAAGAAACCGTCAAGGTGGGTGACGAAAACAAATAAAAGAACATTCAGTTGTTTACGAAAATTGTTTGCGATTCACATCACGGCTATTGTGTTCTAATTGCAACTTTTATTTTCAGGGGACGGCTCGCAGTCGGACGGGGAAATCGAGGGCCAAACAAAAGAACAAGAGGAGAAGGAAAAGACTGATCAAAGTCAACAAACTACGCCGACCACGCCACCTAATTCCGGTGAGATTTAATTATGTTTTCGGGCAATTGTGGGTATTCTACGCGGTTTATTTTCTCTGCAACGTTGCGGATATCGAAAAATTAAAGTTTTTAAAATGTAGGAAAATGACTGTACAGTCTGTTGGAGAGGCTACGACTTAATGATCATCTAATTATGGTGGCTTAGGGGTTTTAGGTGAAACAAATACAGATGCTCTTGTAAATCTTTTTGCAATAATTTTAAAACTGGTATAATACCTGAAAGTTAGCTAAGATTCATGTTTAACCTATTCCGAAGAGGAACGCGAACAAGTGCGCTGAGTACAGACTAAAACTGGTTGATGCGCTACATACTGAAACTATTTTTAAAAATTATTTATGCAAGAAGATATGAAAAATGCGACCAAGATAAGCTCTTTTCCAGGAAAAAGTTTAACGCTTGTTTAATAGGTTATGAAAAATTCAAATAATTTAATATCAGTGCTGGCATCAGCAAGCTATCGCAAAATTCGGCAATCTAGCAACGGATTCGGCGGACACAGAACTACAAAATTTTTGCCGAGGCTCTACAGGATAAAACAGATGGTATTAAAGTTGATTAACAGATTAACAGATGATTAACAACAACATAAACAACATAAACAAAGTAATGATTATAAATAAGTCACGTAAACCTACACCAAGAATAATAATAAATAGAAAAAACAATTAAGTGGTTATTCTTCTTCTTCTTCTTCTTCTTCTCAGGGCTGTTCTTTACTGATTTCTGTTTTTTTTCTAAAACTGCAGTCGTATTGGTAATGTGGCCTACCAGCTATTTCTCCGTCTTTTAAAGAGCCTTCCTGGTGGTCTGATGGGGGCTGTATTAAATCCCTTGTTCTTGGGGCTAGTCTATCTGTTCTTAATGTTTTTCCTGCTATTGACCTCAATGTTCTCATATCTGTTGTTCTAAGTATCGATTTTGTTTCTGCTGTGTCGGTTCTCGTTTCTGTTGAGTATGTCTTACACATGACTTATATATACACGTATTTTCCTGTCCAATCTCATACATTGGTTTCTAAAAATCTTGTATCGCCATTTTTAACTAAAACTTTTTGTCGTTAATTTTGACATAGCTTTTTTCACGTAAAACACAGAGCATATATTTGCAGAATTTTAAACATTTTTTTGCATGTTTGTTAAGATTTGTCAATTAGATCAAAGCTTTATACAGGTTGTCTCACCAGGCACTTTATCGAACTGTTATGGGAAAACTATAAGTTCCAAAAATGTGATGGCGGCAAATCTAAAATATTTGCCGGAAACGGATGTGAACCGAGGTGTGGGTTTTCTTATTTTAAATGCGACTACATATACTGGATGGCACATAGTCTATGGCCTATTAGAATTATCTTCAAATTATAAGGATGATAACATAAAATCTTGCTGTATATCATTTAATTTTTAGATTCTACGCTACAAATAAAGTTGATTTTGTTCAGGTTTCCCTTATGTCTTATTGTTATCGAAATAAAAAATAATTTCTTACATATTTATGCAATTTGGAGCCTTGAAGAAATCTTAGTAGTGCTTTAATTGAATAGAAAGCCGAACTTTTGCCGACTAGCAGGAGTCAGACATTCATTCCAGGCACGCTATTTTAGATGGAACATACAGGGTGTTTTAAAGTAATATTACATAAACACCGATGGGAACGGCCATGGCGCTGCGCCAAAAATCACAAAAGTGTCAGTTGTCAGATCTTATTATTATTTATGAAGAAGTATTAATGAGAACATGCCATACGTTTCCTATTCATTATTCGCAAAACAGAAACCATCACGATATACAGTTAAGTATATTACAAAAATTCTCAAAAACTTTGGATTCCCTTAAAGCGAAAACGAAAAAAAAGGAAACATTGCAAATTAAAAATTATAAAAAATATACTTTTTTAGTAAATGTTCAAGATTGCGTCCTTGACATTCAACAAATGTTTCGTATAGGAGAAATTGACAGTTTTGACCGATTTTTTGTTTTTCTACGCCGAGCCAGTCCCACGGGTGTTATTTAGTTAGAATAAATTATACGTGAAATATTTCTAGAATATTCAGAAGAATCCAAAAGAGCAATATTATACAGGGTGTTTCATTTAAAGTAATTAGACGAGACCTACTTTCGGTATATCCGGTTGTGCTAATTGAACATATTTTTCCCCCGTCACCATTAGTTCAATTCCAAATTTTCAATTTTGACACCCTCTATATTGAATTTTAGATAATAGCCTTTGGAAAAAACTCCGCAGTTCCGCCGCCCCACTCACTGTTCCTCTTTTTTCCACTCTGTGTATAATGTCATAAATTTCTACACTGCATATTAATATCTGACAGAGAAACTTGAATAAGAAAACATTTTCATCAAGAGTTAATAATCAAAACGAATTTGTGGACCAGGTAACCCTTTGTAACCTTTGTATATCTTGATATGCGAAACCAGGCTACTCAAACACTGTATTTGACTCTACCTAAATGCTACGTTGTTCCCCTTTCGCCACTCCAGGCAGTTGTGCATTCATTCTAGTTGACCAGCTTACACGCATGAAGTATTATAGCACAATCCAGAGCTTCTCTCGTATTGAAATACATATTACGCGTTTCCGTGCGCAAAGCACAAATACAATTTAATGGATTGAATGCACTACTTAGTCGTGGAAGCATTTGGAGCGGAAAGATTAAAATTGAGTTAGTTAGTTTCGTTTGTTTCTGTTCTTCTGCTTGTTCTCTGCTTTCAATTTTCAACAGCAGTTCAATTATTTAAAGGCCATTAATAAAAAAACGGGATTTTTATTTAAGTGTCATCGAAAAATTCAAATGTTTTATCGTTTCAGTTTTGAGGCGTTCCGTATAACGGAAATGTAAAAACGCGTTTAATCTCTCCGAAAAACATGTCGGATCTTTAGATTAAAACGCGTTCCAGTCCCGTGTGTTGGAGTCCCAATGAAAGACGCTCTTTCCCTTTTAATCCAAAACATTTTCATCTTCCCCTTACCCACTTCTGCTTCGAGGTTTCAAATTGCGGAAAAATTACTTAGAATTTGTATTTTATTTTACTGCCCTACCTTTATGTCTGGTAATTTGTTGTTATGGACACAATTAATTACGTTCATTTTATTTTATAAAGTGATTCAATAAGACTGTGTGTGTTGTGTTGACAAAATTTTAATGGCAAAAATGTTGTCATCCAGAAAATAGAAAAAAGACCATTTAAACATAATGTATATGCTAAATTTCCAAGATACAAGGTGTTCAATATATAAAAAACTAACGTTATACGCTACATGGTGATAACTTTTAATTTTCTTTGGAGTTAATCTTCTAGTTTATTATGACCAAAGGGTCCAAAAAAAAAAATATTCATAAAAATTCTTTTTGTTAGTTTCAATAAAATGGTCGATAGATGTAATATTGTGTAAAAGTTTTTTATTTTTTAATATTTTACACGTTTATATAAACCTTTTTAATACAACGTATTGTTTACATATTCGGCTCGATGAATAATTTGTAAACGCAAATACTTAAAAATTACTTCGAAACTGTAATGAGACAAACGGTGTTCCATTGGAAATTTCGAAGCTGCCATATTTACCAAAATATTTACGGAATATAGATTGTCGTCAATTATGACCGCACACCAAACTTGGGAAAATTCCCTTTGTTAGTTCGCCAGAACTTTTAATAGGACTCTCAGGGATCCTGGTACAGGGCGTCAAAGGCCACGTTGTCTTCGTCATCTTTGATCTCCTTCCTTATCTCCTCAATGTAAAAACAGCTAAAAAATGGTGCTACATTTACGTATAATATGAACATTGCTGTCTGCGTTGCTGAATTTGCATTCAAAAAAGTTAGTGTTGATTCAGAATAACGTCACATATTTGCGTGCACGCTCCAATATGTCACGTTTTTTTACATCCATCCGCATGCATGTACGCAAAAAATCGCTGATGACGACGTTGACAGTTATGTTTATGTTGACAGTAGATACGATTTCGTTTCGTTGTTTTTAGTCTACACAAAATAATATCCTTAAATAAGAAGTTGAAGACGAAATAATTATTGGTCCTCGTAACACTTTGTGCCTTAGTGACCAGTAAATCGGCAATGTATTCTTTAACTCATCATCTAACAAGCATAGAGACAATTATAAGGAGAACGACGGTTTAAACGAGAATAATCGATATACACACAGCAACAATCGAAATAACCTGTCGACGGTAATAAAACAAGTGACTAGCAAGTCTTGTAGGACAGAGCATTAGGGATGGACGTTATTTTAAAAATATTAAAGTTAAATATTTGATTACTCTAAAGACACATTAGTACTAACAGAAAGTACAATGACACAAGTACGTTTTAATTCATAATCTAATTCAGTTACACTCTCAGAGTCGTCATTCAGAAAAATTACAATGGGCTATATCTTATTTTATATGCAAATGTAATAATATTCAATTTTTAATATGGTGTGCTGTCAACAGGTATATTATAATTACATTTTGGAATACATTTATTACACTCGGACTTAAAGGGGAATGATAATGCCATAAATACTCTCCAATTAAATGGATGAAGACATACAACACTATCACTTACGTATTGTTCTTTAATATGATATAGCACTTCCAAAAGTTGCCGTTCTATATAACTGGATACAATTAAAATTCCATAAATCCATCTTCTGATCCAGCGTGAATTGTAGTGAAGTATTTTCCTTTTGTTTGAAGGTGCTTTTGTATGATGGTTTATACTGGAATTCGGTATTTTGTGTATCAAACCAAGTTTCATCTAGGTAAAATACATAGCCATTTTCGAATCAACACTTTTTAATTTCTTGCGGTATTCAAGTTCCATTTTACCAATAACTGTATGGAGGGTGGCACTCATAATTATATTTGCTTTATCTTTTTCTACCTTCAGTTTATCCCAAGTAGGAATAATAATAATAGGTATGAAGTTCGTATTTATTTTTTGGCGGAGGCTTCATCA